GCGAGAATATGGCTCGGAGAAAGTTCCGTCCTCTGTGTTGTTCGTGACTACCTTGAATTGAATGTTTTATTTGGAAGCCTCCGACATTTAGGCATTGCCATGCAACGTTCGAACTGCTTTATCTGCGGTCTCAATCAAGACATTGTGATTGGTGTGTTAACATCGAGTAGCACAGAAGTAGATCAGGATTAAACGCTGGTTTACAGCTTGCAGTCAAGACCAGTTCAAGAAATTCTGCTCATCGTTTTCTAAATACTGATTGGCGACTGCCATCCGCCGTGTGCATTCGTTTGCTAAAGGAAATTGTCATCTATAACGCAACGGCCGCGCAGACTAATTATGTGCTTCGTAGCAGTTTTGTATAGGCCGGCGCGCAACTTTTGCGCCGGCCATTGCACGGTCGTGCCGGGTATTGACTTGCTTGAAGCGATTTCACTCGCGTTTTCTTTACATTATAACTATTGGGGAGGGGGGGGGGTTCACTACAGGCCCGATTAGGCTTTCAAAAATGTGAAATGTCAGCTGAGGAAGTGCAAAACTAAAATTTTTTTCCCAAACCTTCAGCAAATTTCCATGTTTCAAATAAAAAAGAACAAGAAACAAGAGCAAGAGCAAAAACTTCGTATGGTTAGGACGATAGACACAAAATTTTAGCAATTATTTATGTCCTAGAAGGCATCTTCCAAAATGACTGCTGAAATGGAAGTTATCTCAATGTTTACATTAGTTTAGATAATTTGAGGATATCAGAGAAGTGTACGAACTTTCATTTGATGTAGAAATCAAAGTCTCTATGTCTAGAAGCAGAGACTTGGTTTGCAGTGTGTATGTGCACTATTTAGAGAAATTTTCTACATGAACCGACCAAACTGAATTTTTCCATAAAAATATAACCACGGTAGATTTTTTAGGCTACCTTCCCTTTCAAGCTCGTTCTATCAATCAGTAATGTTTGGCAATTATTGTAGTCATAGACGCTGATTACTCTTCAACCCATTTAACCGTAGTCAAGTAAGCAGCATGGAGCTTATTCCATTTTGCAACGAAGGATGCAACTCCTTGCAGCAACTCTATGAAAGGTAAGTTTATGCTGATAATGGAGCACTCGTACGCTTTTCTGAGAAGGGGACGGAGGGGGAAGAAAACAGGGCCCGGCACAGATGGTCTGGAGTCAAACTGAACTTCGTTTTAGGGTCAGAAGCAGAGAGAATATCGTTTTGATAAGGTCCTGGGCGAGCGCCGAAAAAAACCACAAACATGTCAGTTTTTACGAGTTCAACGAGTTCTTTTGCAAGCGCGCGAATTTCAAACATAAGACCCAAACAAACAGATCGCTTGTTTACAGCGCACAAACAAACACAAAGCGTCGAATTTGGCAATATGATTACCCCCTGTGCCAACTCCCAGCCCCGTAGCTCAAACTTTGCGAAAAATCGATAAAATCGATAAAACCAATGGAAAATTTCAAAAACTAATATTGTATTCGCAATCAGCATGCTCGGTTACCCCCTTGCGCAAACTCCCAGCCCAGTAGGTTAAACTTTGCAAAAGAAATCAATAAAATTCGATAAAATCGATATCGATCGATGACGAAAAGTAGCCTATGACACCCGCCCTGCCCCAAGGTGTAGTATGCCAAGTTTGGCTCGGATTGGTTCAGAAGTGGAATTTTCTATTCGGAACATACATACATACAGACATACATACATACAAACAGACATTCAGCTTTATATATAAGATTACTCCAAACTATACTATGTAAAAAGTTTTGCAAACTTATGTATCTTAATACTTTTTCCCAGATTCCTTGGTTTTTAGACCAACACCAAACCAACTGGGTTGGTTCGAAGCATAAATGCCGGAGGGTTCACATAAGTTTTGGACCCTTACTTGGATGATTAGAACGCTCAAAAATCTAACATATAGCGAAGAGATCGAATCAAACCACTCCCCCTTCTCTTTCTTGAGCCAAAAATGGTGTGAACCTACGCACTAGACATTGCGCTCCAATCTCATGCGGTGTCCTTTGAACTATGTGGCGAAAAATGCATCGCCGGATTCTTGAGGCCACAGATTTGGTCGGCCTAGAAGCGTTTTTGTCATTCTGAGCACTAAAGTGGTACCACACTCAATGACGGAGCCTCTAATCAACTCAGAATGTTTTTTTTTGCCTTCTTGTTATAAAGATACCTTCGATTCGTTGCGCACAAAGACTGCGGACTTATCGGCGCCTCTGTGATCAAGCGCTCTTTCGTTCCTCTTACCACCTGCTGTCTCTCCCACGCACCAGCTATTTTGGTCGTACGCAATGGTGCCCAGTCTTTGTGCGTTTTGAATCGACGATACCTCAAAATGCCCTTTTTTCGCTTTTTTATCATTAAATTGATTGAGTAAGGGTTTCACTACTATCTTTTACGTCAAGGGACTTCGTAAATGTTCGCGAAGTCATGAGAGACTTCGATTCCAGAAATGTTCCAAACCAACGCATGCCAGGCCCTTCAAGGGAAGGACAAAGAGGAGAAAGTGTTGGAAGGGATCGGCAGCGAGATAGCAACATCTGGTAAATAGCAGAGAAGGGGAGGGGAGCTAGGAGGGAAGGAGAGCAGAAGGGAGGCAATATTTCAACTGCACACCGGCATGTGCATGATGCAAGCGAAAACCAGAACGGGACTGCTAGCTAGGAAGGCTAGAATGGACTAACTACCGAAATGTCACTAAAATACTCTCGCATGCTTTCAAAAGTTATCTATAATCTCCGAAGAAAAGTTTGTAGTACCATTGCTGATTGTTGCGGAGTAAAAGCGGGAAAGAAGAGTTTAGATTGTAGTAACCCCGAATGACTTTTGAGTTTCAATAAATAGGAGAATAATTTCACTTATAATTAAAGTTTTTTGAATGGGCATTCTTTATGTCGTCACAGATATGTTGCTCTTTGAATGACAACATTTTGAGGAATGAGGCCAAAGTGCGCTGTAAATTGATGATATCAGACGACAATCGCACAAGTGTGTTCCATTGGAGAACCATGGTGGCTAATTTGTGATTTCACAATCTTATATATAAAGCTGAATGTCTGTTTGTATGTATGTCTGTCTGTCTGTATGTCTGTCTGTCTGTGTGTACGTATGTTCCGAATAGAAAATTCCATTTCTGAACCGATCCGGACCAAACTTGGCACACATACACTACGGGCCCCGGCGGGTGTCAAAGGCTACTTTTCGTCATCGATCGATATCGATTTTATCGATTTTTATCGATTTTTTTGCTGAGTTCACCTACGGGGCTGGGAGTTGGCACAGGGGGGTAAGTGAGCATGGGGATTCCGAATACAATATTGGTTTTCAGGATTATCGATTACTTTTATCGATTTTATCGATTTTTTTGCAAAGTTTGAGCTAGGGGGCTGGGAGTTGGCACAGGGGGGTAATCGAGCATGCTGATCATCCCCAAGGGGGGTGATCAGCATGCTCGATTACACTCCTGTGCCAAATTCCAGCCCCCTAGCTCAAATTTTCAAAAAATCGATAAAATCGATAAAAGTAATGGACGATCTTGAAAACTAATATTGTATTCGTAATCTGCATGCTCGATTACCCCCTGTGCAAACTCCCAGCCCCGCAGGTCAAACTTTACAAAAAAATCGATAAAATCGATAAAAGTAATGGACGATCCTGAAAACTAATATTGTGTTCGTAATCAGCATGCTCGATTACCCCCCTGTGCAAAATCCCAGCCTCGCATGTCAAAATTTACAAAATATCGATAAAATCAATAAAAGTAATCGATAATTCTGAAAACTAATATTGTATTCGGAATCCCCATGCTCGATTACCCCCCTGTGCCCACTCCTAGCCCTGTAGGTGAACTCTGCAAAAAAGTCGATAAAAATCGGCAAAATCGACATCGATCGATAACGAAAAGTGGGCTAGTTAATGATATTCCCTCTTTTCCAATGGCGACTCTCCCATTAGCACTGTAGAACCGGATCGATACAGTCATCACCTTATCTTCCTTTTGCATGATTCATTACCGCTTTTAGTTTACGGATTGTTTAACTACATGAGATCATAATTTTTTTTGACGGTCCATTATGGTGCGAAATAACGATCGTAGCTCTAGCTTGTTAGGTGTAAAGCAATATACGTGCTTCAAATGCTCTGAAAAGGGTTCACTACATGTTCTTGCCAGTAAGTAGTTCATGAATCGTCATAATTTTGTCTGGTTCCGCTAGACCTTTCCTCGACCTGTTGCAGAGGTCCTCGATGTGCTAGCCACTTTTTCACCATGTCTCACTTCATTTCTCTTTTTGGTTGCAAGTGCGTAAAGCTAGCCCAACGTTTAACGAGGTTAAAGGTGTGACACTTTAACATCAGAACACATTAACACATGGAGCAAATTTCGAAACAGACATGGTTCATTTGCTACATGTATAGAAATCTTGAAATTTACGCAACTCAGTTCATCCACTTATTCCACTTTTCTGCAAGCAAGCAATAGCACCTCATTTTGTGTTGAAAAGGCACGTCATATCTTGCCTGCAATTTCTGCTATCACCGATAAGAGTCATCGCATGTATCAGCGTTTTTGTTCTGTCACGATAGTAAAACAGATACATTTCTAGTTCTGTTACCGCAATTTCTTTTTGGAATACCACCACTTTTGGGCATAGTTCATCAAAATTAATAAAGTAGGGCTCTTCCATGTTTTCCTTAACACTAGTTCCGGCATAGTTTTAGCACAGCGCTCGAAGCTGTGCTGGAATTGTGCTGTACGCGCTGCAGCAAACCGCATGCGGTATAGAACGACGGAAACTGGCATTTCTGACTGCTTTCAACGGTTTTCGATTTGAGTTTTGCTGGTTTTTTTCCATTCTTGCACTTCGCTTCCTCTTGTAAAAAATAGCATCAAACTTACAGCGAAGTTTGAGAATGACCACAATTTTGTCTAATAAACATTTGAGTTGATCACTAAAAGCGGGAACGGTGACGACAGCTGGCTATGTCAAGAACGCAGTATAACTTTTCGAAATACAAGAAGGATTTTCGATAAAGATATTAGGTTGGTGCAAAAGCTCTTTCCGTTTTTTGGATCAACTTGCAAATCCCGTAAAGAAAATAAACAAATACTTCAAGCAGAATGCAATGTAGAATTTTTTTCTCTTCAAAACAGCTACTGCTTTCTGAACGTGAGGGCTGGTGTTTGGGCGAAAAGCGGAAGCCGGCTCCTTGGCAGATCGATTGGTTGCTCGAGCCAATAATCCAGTCCGAAATGTGTGGGTGTCTCCATTAGTTTTCATGAGCCAATCGCTCTCTGGGAGGCGGGCTTTCGCATCCCGCCTAACCGCACTTTTTGCGTTCGGAAAAGTGAGTTACTGACATCTTTAGAAGCTGCAAAACAAGTTATGGGGAGTTCATCCAAAGGACGAGAATGACAAATACTTCGAAGTCGCCGATCTCCCAGCTACCGCTTGCGGGAGGCTACAGAGCATGCAGCACAGCAGCTCCTGCACTCGCCGCTGTGGAACTGTGCCGGAACTCTAAGATCTGTACGAACTGAAGGCAAAAGAAATCCGCCGAGAACTTTCCATGGAATGCATTACAAAGTCAGTAATTGAAGAGAACGACAGCTTCGCGGGGCACACGCAGAGACTAACTCCTCCAGCATTGTAGAGAAATTGAGCGCTGCTTGTCACCTGGGAAAAGAATAGGAATTTTCAGCATCCATCACCTTCTCCCTAGGCAAAGCAAAGAAGTCCTGTTAATAACTGATGTGTTTTTAGATAAATCTGATTTTGAAACACAGTGATAGGAATTTTTTCAGGGTGACGTGCGGTAACGATCAGAAGTGATGGCTACATCGAACGATTATGGACTACAACGCATGCGCAGCGGTAGCACAAGCAGCGATCATACTTATTGCTACATAATGGATGATCCAAGCGATTATACTGATCTAACAAATTCTGCTATAAAACAAGGCTTCAGCCCTACTCAACAAAAAAGTGAGAGCTACGCCTCCTTCTTTTCTTGGGGCTTGAAAACCTTCAAATTTGAGCACGAAAGATAACGAAAAGTATTACTGCTTCTACTTTGAATGAGAAATCGTTTGAGTCAGGTTTAGAAAAACGAACATGGATTCTTCTTTCTCTAAAACGTGACAGTAATTCACAACAGCTCCAACGCTCCCATTACCGGGATTTTTTATGGTGTACATATTAGTGTGTGCCATTGCTGTGCAAAATGCTGTAAATTGTCTTTTAATTTTGATAGAAGAAGAACAAAAATCAACTTTCTAAAGCATTCTAAGGCCTGTGTGCACGTACATACCCGCGGGAAAGGGAAAGTATCAAAGGGCCGCATGCATTCCGGGGAAGGGGATCGCATTTTTATCTGCGATCCCCTTCCCCGGCGGGATGTTAACGCAAGCCGCATTTTTCAGCTTTCTGTTTGATCCCCTGATGATCCCCGGGGACGAATCTTTCGTTCGAAGTTATTTTTTTTCTTCGAAATTAGCGAAAATTTTCGTAGTTGTACTGTTCATCTGACATAACAGTGCTAAGCACTGTTATGTCAGATGAGCAGTACACTGTTGTTGGTGATGAGAACAAACGAGTTTTTAGAAAATCGAATTCTTCATTGAACCCCAACTTTCGACTTCTGGTTCATCGCAAATTTCATGACTACGAAACATCGCTTGTTCCTACCAGAATCATGATTAGCACTGTTGGGTTAGATGAGCAGCACAATTTTGAAGTGACCAAGAAAAATGACTTTGAAGAAAAGACGGTCGGCAGCCAGGGATCATCAGGGGATCAAACAGAGAGTTGAAAAATGCTGCTTGTAACTTCTTGCTCCCGTTCATAGTGTTAATAGTGAAGGATGGTGCAAGTACTTAAATCCAGAAGTTGGGAGCTTCAGGATATAAAGCTTTCTTTTAAGCTGCGATCCCCTCCGCGTTGGAAAGTGTTAATGCATGCGGCCCTAAGAGCGGAAGCGTTATATCTCGCTACTTTAAATATCTTTTTTTCTTCTTTCTCTGTTTGGCTTATGAAGGTCCTCAAACTCCTCATTCCTGCGCATAATGGATGCCCGGGTTACTGCCATGCAAGATTAGGTTTTCACTATTTTGTAGGATCCCTTGGGAATTTCCAGGTGATCATTTCATTTCCAAAACCATTTACCTTCAAACTAGATGAAAACATTATATGAGGATATACTACAGCATGATTAGCATGTTTTCGACAGTAAATGTTTGGCAATGTCGTAGTATACCCTCAGTACAAATTGACCGCGTTTTCAATGAGTTTTCAAGAAGATACATGACTTTGAAAATGAGAGGTGTACACTAGGGGCCCCTGTGTTGCGGATCGGTGGAGCACCTCTAGCCGTGTGTTCGACTGCTCTACACTACGACCCTAACCCTAGGACATTAAGCGTCAGCAGCTCACGTGGACTCCGCCGCGTCCACTCGACGCGGTCACCCAGCTCACCAAGCGCGCGTATATGAATCAGGTTTATATACATAAAACAACAAATATGAAACAAATATTTTGCATTGACTTGCGGGTTCAGTTGTGGCTGTAAATTATTTCTTTGACGCCTCTTGTGTATCTCCTCACGTTGCGTCAAACTTTTATTTTTGGTGTACTCGTTTTGTTCTAGTTACTAACACAGTTTCATCAGCATCTCAGTCCGAGTCTTTTTCGTTCAGCTATCTATTAGTCAGTCGTACAGCTTGCTATTTCAACAAATGGATTCAATGAGAATCGTTTCACCTTTGGGGTCATTGGGCCTCCCCAGCATTCCGGCTAGGTTGGGTTATGGTTATTATACCTGAGCCAGTAGACCTGCCTTATAAGCCGCCGGATTGCTTTTAAGAGTAACTAAAGATCGTTCCGCTGGCAACGAGGGGGCATGCGTCCCATCTCCATGGATTCAAAGTTTTGGAGTTATAAATCTCATGCCTACATCTGCTTACTTATCTATTAGCCTACCAACATATTCAGTGCAAGCTGTTTTATCTTCTCACATTAGTCTGATTAGGATCAGACTCGAACTGACATGATGATGTCTGCATTTGTTTACATGTCTTGTTCGTTTCCGCTGTATTACTAACTTCCTGATGTGTCTTTTTTTTATGGAACGCCTTGAGCGTACAAATGAAATGAAATGAAATGAAATGAAATATACAAAGAAAGCTACGAGAGCCTCAAAGAGTTTGACCAAACACTATCACAGGATGAGCCCTGTGCTACGGAGTCCTGTGCTATCGATGTAAGAGAGGCTCAGTCCAACCAAGAATCTGGGTTCCTCCACAGAGTCTGCCGCTGGAGACCCAGTCCCGTGGAACGTGCAATTATCAGCTCTACCCCGCAGCAACGTTCATCTACAGATTTCCAAGTTTCTTTCGCGCTCATGCGCGTCTAACCTACAAGATTCAAAAGGCTCAACCGCTTAACATGAATTTCTTCTTAACTGGGGAGCTGCCCAGAACGTAGCCAAGCTGAAAATAATCAATAATGAAAACGAATCTAAAAAGCCGAGGGCTGCTCTCACGCGCAGCCTTATATACTTCGCCACTTGGTTGCGCTCCAAGCCGGAGGTGGTGCTGGCGATAGACAGATGAGACATACAGCGCCTCCCGCCATCTGTTCCGAGGAATGCTCTGCATAGCAGCGACACCTTGTGGATCCCTAGGAGATCACATAAATAGTGAAGATCTAATTCTGTGCAGTAACTTGGCACCCAATATGCGCAGGTACTAGGGTTTGAGAGCATTCATATGCCATACTCTAGGCGCCATATTGAGATATGGCGCCTAGAGTATCGAGATATGACGCCCCCTCTCAGACTACATGCATACGGGCCAGAAGCTCGTTTTGGTCGATCTCATTTCTTCATCGGTATAGCGGAAGCCCTTTTGCAACGTATCCGTAGATTTTAGTAATCGAGACTGAATTTTGAACTCCCCTTGCCCCGAAGTGCATGTGTGCAAAGCTTAGTCCGGATCCGCACAGAAATAAAAAGTTCTACCCGGAACAAACGATAGACACACACCCCAACAAGTGCACAAACAAACGTTTAGATTTATACACATATATACGATTTAACGGTCAAAATTCATGGCAGAAGAGGACACGTGATATAGATAAGGTTGAATCAAAGATTCTGTCGCCGTTTGTAGCAACGAAAACAAGACAGTCGCTAAGTGGGTCCTAAGTATTCTTTTTTTGAACAAGGTTTGTGCTGATCGCACGCTTTCTAAAAAGATATGTAATGCGAAAAATGCTTACAAATGTAGTTTTCTTATTTTATACTTTTTTGTCAAGAAACTTCCTATTTACGGGCAAAGAGAAGTTCAATCAGTATGAAAGCAAACTTGAGCAGTGGATGCCTCAATTTCTGCAGCGTTTCAGATTTTTACTTGCTTGCTTGCTCAAAACCGTCAATACCGAAAAATCTGTTTTAGCTTTTTCTATAGTTGTAGACAGTAAACAAAATGACCTTTGAAGCATGCGTTAGAGCGGACAGGCTTAGCAAATTTAGATCACAAATATTCTACATTATCTTCCAACAGTAAAGGGGATACCAAAAACAGCTTGCTGGAATCCAACTTTTTGAAGCTGTGATACGATAAAATTATCACACCAATTTTTCAAAAAGATAAAGTGCGGGTTTCTTAATCTTCCTAACACCTGTGTTCTCAAGTTTTTTTTTCAGGTAATAGCTATCCGTAGTTCACCATTGTTCACTTCGCCTATAATTCAGAAATTCTATTTTGAGCATTGGTAACATAATCTTTCAATTTCTTGTAATTTATATTGTATTAAATACAGTTAAGCATTGCTTGACACTTCTGTTAAAGTCTCCTCAAAAATTACTGAAAAATATTAGAAAGAGGTGAGGAATGTTCAACACTGCTTTGAAATTCTACTCTAACGTCGGGCGATAAAATTCTTTTAAAAGACAATCATTGACGGTTATTTCAGCAATCATCAACAGTATCAGCATGCAAGCACAGCTATGGGGGAAGAAAGCAGTGTTCTACATTAAAAGTGTTGATAGCTTATCTTACCATAGGTTCTGCCAAAATGTTGTTCATTTTTTCGGATCAAAAAAACATCATCGAAAGTTTTATGAGAGATCACTTTTAGAAAAACTGAACAAAAGCACTAAATGGACTATTGTGGGAGGCATCGCGACTACACTTCTTGCTGCAGTCGTTGTCGTGCTCGTGGTTGTAGTTCCAAGAAAAGAAGCACGTGAAGGTATGATATCTTCAAGTGTTAGCAGCTATATACTGCCATTATTACAGAAAAACTACCTTTCATGACCACGCTGACAAATCATATTTGTAAAATAGTAAATTTACATCATACATCATTACATACGTTTTATTTTTCTTTTTTTCGTATCACTAAACTCGATATTCTGGCAGACCGCACACTGCTAGTTTCGCTGTCCTGAATTGACTTGAAAGTTTGTCTTGGAAAAGTTGACGTTCATGGACCGCATGTACTCTAAGTCTGAGGTGAAATTGCCTTATACATACATATATAAATACGTGCTCCTCCCCTGCTACTGTACTAGGTGTGTGGTCGATTAATTATCTGCTATGTTTTCTGTCCTTTTGGGCGCACCTCTGAGTGCATTCAAACAAAAAATAAATAAATAAAAAATTAAATTTGGTGATCAGCAGCGGCAGTAAAAAATCGTCGACTCGTTTCTTCCTCCTTACAGATAATATATTGTTTACCTAGGTTTCATTGCTCAAGGTGCTCGGTAACACGTTCCTAAGATAACTAGGATAAAAACTCTGCAATATATGAACAGCTCAAAAACAAAAAGTGACAGTTCAATTGCCTTGTCCTTTGCTTTCAAAAAATATTGTATGCCTTGTAGACAAACTGTCTTCATTCATTCATGTCAAGAGCGATGTCGCACGCTTGTAGTATCTCAAATGATCCTAAATGAGTACATTGAGATTGAGATTGTTGTCATCAGCGGTGTAACTCGCAACCCAAAAGCCGTTGACAGATCGAATACCTCCTCTTAAAAATGTATATATTGAGTTTTACCGGAAGTTCGTTTGAGCCGTTTTGAATTCGAAACTTCTTAATTTTTTAGAAAAATTGTTTGACTTTAAAAAAGTTTAATTTCATCCAAAAGGGAGAATGCGCTACACAACAACATCTGAGAAACTTTTTAACACGCAAACAACACAGAGATAGATGCTGTAGAACAAGACCAATTTATTTGATTTTTCTGTGTAGGGTTCCCAAAAATTTGATCTTGCACTAGAAGTCGGAACAGTTGGTATCATAAATTATATGAGCTTACTAAGTGAGCAAGATTGGTATTGATTGGGCATTTTAAGAAAAGTGTTAATAAAGTGTTCTAAGCAAACAGTACAAACCGGCAAAATTTGATTATTTTAGAATCTCTCCCAAAAGTATAATTTCGATAGAAACGCTCAATCAGCACAAAATTTTCTTGGATAGGAAGACCGACTTCAAGACTTGCACTAATGACTCCAATTATATGCACGTTTCAAATTTTTGACAACACCAAACAAAAAATCAAAATGAGTAGTTCTTTTACAGTTTCTATCTCTGCAGTGTTTGCGACTTAACACGTCTTTTAGATGCTATTGAAAAGCTCATGATTTCTTCTTTTAGATAAAAATAAATTTGCAATTTCTTTGAAGGAGTATAAATTATGATAAAGTAGTTTGGAGTGCTTTCATTTACTTTGAAGAAAGAAAAATAGCTTGAAGAAACGAATGTCGGACGCTGGGGATCATCAAGGGATCATACAAAATGTTGGAATATGCGGCTTGCACAGCTTCTCGGTTTTGTTCAATATGTCCATGGTGAAGGATGTCGGAATACTTACGGATAGGAAGACAGCGTGAAATCTGGATATCTGGAGCTCAAGAATATAAAGCTTTCTTTTAAGCTGCGATTTGCTCCCCAGCGGAGATCTCAATGCATGCGGCCCTAATTTCCCGGGTAGGTGTGTGGAGAGGTGGGTTTGTAATTGTCTCCAACAATAAGCTTGTGGCGGTTTTGGGCCCAACAAGCTATCCCTGTGAGCGAAAAAGATGTTCGACACAGTGAAAATATGGAAAGCTCTTTCAATCTTGGAAGAACCCGGGTGCAGCGCCCGTGGGGACAGAATTTGAAAGGGATTTAGGCTGCTGAAAACGAGACGGACAATGATGACGCCGAAGACGAGACGGACAATGATGATGATCTGTACCAACGCAAGGATGCCTGCATCGGAAGCATCTATGAAAGGCCTCGTGATGCAAGCAAGGAAAATCAGGTATGATGTCATGGACTGACCAAGATAAGAAGACACCACAAGCTATCGCCACATTTGAACTATTCTTTGGAACATGCGACAGTCGAAGAGTAGGTAGTGGAATCTTTTTCAACACAAGTTTGACCAGGAACATCGATTTTTTCGAAGAACTCAATTGGACTTTTGCGAATACCAAGATGCGTATCAATCCCTACCTATACCGTCTTATTGCGCGCGTCCCAACATCCAGTTACAACAAAGACGAGTTCGTTTCATATAAACTTTAAAAAGTTCCACGAAGGAGGTGACACTCTTTACAAGTTTATCATCGGTGACTTCAACGCGAAGATTGGAGCAGAATGAGATTGAAAGTCTCGTGTATGCAAAATTTGGTCCGGATTGGTCAAAAATAGGCATGCTTCACATACATCAAATAGAAATAGACATACAACTTCACAACTAGGTTATTTATTTAGTTCTTAATTGAGATCCTCGCTTGTGGTAAGTCATTGACAGCATTTTTGCTTAGGTCTATCGTAAAAATTGACATAAGATACGTATAAACGTCTTTTGCTTTCGTATTATCAACAACATGATCGCTAAATTGCATGTGCTCAAATGATTGGCTATAACATAAATAAACGGAAATATGGAAGTTTTCGAATTTCAGGCTTTATCTTCTGAACAAATGGTTGCTGTCCTCATCATCTGAATCAATCACTTGAATGGAAAAAGATATGCTTTTGCTTTGATAATGATATTCTGCCAGACTACATCGAAAAAACCCAAAAGACTTATAACTATACAGATGGCAATTTCTTTAACTGTAATTTCAGCAATTCTACGCATAATGAAAACACTTGTCATAAGTTTGTAAGTGATACAAGTCAATGAACTGGAATTTTGCTCAAGAACTCCTATAATTAAGGCACTAATCGCACCATTTTATCTCCTGTCATCCTAGCATTGTCAGAGCACAAATGGTGGTCCTTCAGACTCCAAAAAGAGGGGACTGCGTGGAAATATGTTCATTATTTTAGCCCCCTTCTGGGTCGGCACTCAATTCAAACCTTGCTTTTCTATCGCGCCAACTACAGTGGTTAAAGGCAGCGTCCGGGCAAAAAGTCGATTTTGAGATATTGTGCTTACCCGGGCCTGATCGCTATGCTGAATCCGTAAATCACCACTAGAGAGCGCGAAAACGGCGAAAAAGGGGTCTAACGCAGGAGGAAAATCAGCAGGGGGCGGAGCGTCCGAGAGGGTGGATTCTCGCTCCCAGCTTCCGGAGCAATCTTCTCGGTTCCGATCTCAAATCATGCGTTTGCACTTGGCCAGTAGCGATGTTAGGGCGACTAAAGGAACCGAGAAGATTGCTCCGGAAGCTGGGAGCGAGAATCCACCCTCTCGGACGCTCCGCCCCCTGCTGATTTTCCTCCTGCGTTAGACCCCTTTTTCGCCGTTTTCGCGCTCTCTAGTGGTGATTTTCGGATTCAGCATAGCGAATAGGCCCGGGTAAGCACAAAATCTCAAAATAAATCGACTTTTTGCCCGGACGCTGCCTTTAAAGAGTCGCTATAAAATTGTTTCAGGCTCTGATTACACTGATGATCCAAAAATATCCATCTTTATCGTATCACTGACGCTTTAGATTATCTACACTTTGGAGCGATAGAATCTGTGGGTAAACTACTGATCACAACAGCTGTTTAGTGATAATGCTTAGATGGTTTAGAAGAGTGTAAATTACGATTGGGAAAGCGATTATTTATAACTCCTGTTACTGCTATGTTAATTCATAGCGCTCGCTATACTCACTGCCATTACTATCAGTATAACTAAATAGTTCGAATTTAGAATCAGGCAAACTAGTGGGCATCCCCACGTGTTGTAACATGTCTGCTACATTTTTCGCTACGATTTGAATACGATTAATTTATTGGAAGAAAGCTTTGAAATTATGAACTTACGATGTTTCTGAAGAGACCACAAAATAACTCAAAATTGACCTTTAATAACATTGCAGTACAAACAAACAAACAAACAACAACACAACAACAATCTTTTTTTTCAAATTTTAGTGCAAACACAACCAATTCGGACCTGTTAGTCCAACTATGAATCTTTGAGCCCAAGCTAAATAACAAATTTGCATCAAAGTAAAAGCATTCTGACCGAGTTTTCGATGTCAATTTTTTCCTAAATCTCTCCTCTTTACTCCTTCCGATGTCATTTACGGCATCAAGTTATGTGTCAATCCCCGTCCTTCAACTTTTCTTTTCTATCACCGGAAGCATAAGGGTGAAGAGTATTTGAGAGGCACATACAAGGCTTATCAAACGCAGTGTCGCTTGCATCAGCATCTCCACTACCGCACTGGACTATGCGTCTCTTCCGCGAACATGCTCTCTGGTCACTTTCCCAGGGCGAGTGTGGGAAAGGTGGAGCCTCAATCGATTGGAAGTCTAAAGAGCATGTTCGCGGAAGAGACGCAGAGTCCAGCGCGGGAGTGGAAATGGTGATGCAAGCGACACTGCGTTTGATAAGCCCTGTACTTAGAATTGTCGCAAGTTGCGCATCAGGTTGAATTACAGCCTGTGCCAATGCGTATTTGTCTTTTCTACCGTATGCCGAGATTCGCGCTTCAGCTCTGCAAGGTCTCGCGCCAAGTATGCGGAGTATCTTGTCATTGAAATCAATACGCACATGGCGCAAGACCATTGCAGGAGAACGCGGGTTTTGGCATACGGTAAAAAAGACCAATACGCATTGGCACAAATTGTATATCTATTCCGCTTTGCAAAGGGTATGAAACAACTGCGAACAGCACCGAAATCTCAAACCGCCAAACCTGTCCAAGCTGCCTTTGAGGCTACACCCACAGTGAAAAAAGCTAGATAGGTTCTTACAAGGGAACGATCCCAACTTAAGGTGGCGAATTGGAATGAACCGTATGCCATTAGATGCGTCTTGATGAGCTGATTCCAAATCTGTCTTCCATATCTGCGACACCGTTATCTGCCAAAAGTTACGAGCGGTTGAAAATGTGAAGTTATCAGGGTTTTAATGCATAATGCTTTAAAATCCAACTTGGAAGTGCACGACTAGCATGATATTGAGTGTACTGATTCCAGGGAATGCTCAGATTCTAAAGAAACACAGATAAGTGTTTTTGAACAGCTAAAAAGCAACTAAAGTTCTTTGGTAAAAGCTACTAGCAATGAAAAGTCCGAATTTGGCAAATGTACAGCGCCATACCTCAAAAATTAGTTGTTCAAAAACACTTATCTCTGTTTCTTTAGAATCTGAGCATTCCCTGGAATCAGTACACTCAATATCATGCTAGTCGTGCACTTCCACGTTGGATTTTCAAGCATATTATGCATTAAAACCCTGATAACTTCACATTTTCAACCGCTCGTAACTTTTTGCAGATAACGGTGTCGCAGATGTGGAAGACAGATTTGGAATCAGCTCATCAAGACGAATCTAATGGTATGTGGTTCAATCCAATTCGCCACCTTAAGTTGGGATCGTTCCCTTGTTAGTGAGGAAAAACCTTTCAAAGTCATAGTAGCATCTCCTTGAAGAGATATGTTGTTAAAGGCATTGTCAGGTCAACTGGCGGGTGTGGCTTGACGCTGTGCGAGAACAAGTCTTAGGGCTAATGCAATAGTTCCATTCCGATCAAAAAAGGTGGATCCTGAAGCGAGAAATTTGCTTCGGAAAAAGGTTTGAGCGGTACTCCAGTCCCGCCTCCTTGACAAGTTTTGACGTGGTAAATGCGCTAAATCTACTGCGTTGGCCAAATCAAAGCTTGTCAAGGTGGCGAGATCGGGGTACCGCCCCCTTTTCCCGAAGCAAATTTCTCGCTTCAGATGCTACGATGGGACTGGAACCGTTGCGTTAGTCAAGAGCAGTTCTCGCACCCTGAACCAATATCCTGATAACCCCATTTGACCTGGACAATGCCTTTATAGAGATATGATACACATCATTACAGAAAAAATCAACGGAAAGTCAACAACGCTGACACCCACAGTAACGCAACCTGTCTTTTCTATCATCACATCCTCAGCGTCTTCTGCGCCTACTAGAGCCACCAGCAACTCCACGACTAAGCCGTCAAGCTGTAAGCGCTACTTATTAATTACTCATTAATTATTAACTATTAATTAATTGTTACTTATTCAACTCAATTGTGAAATAGATACAGCGCCGCTTAGCTCGCTACAAAAAATAACGCTTTTGATGGCATTGCTAGTATTTTGATGAACAGACATAAGTAATTTCCTGACAGAAGTTAAAGACAGTGTCCGGGCATGATGGGGGTTTTGGGATTTCAGTGCCATGCGAGAGTGCCCCCCCCTTCAGACACAACATCGCGCAAGAGCGACGTCATAACGCTCGACCTGAAGCAAAAAACGCGGAAAGTGGGGAAACTTACGCCTTGGGGCCGGATGCTCCGAGCTGTCCGAATTCCTGCTATGCGGCAGAGTACGCAAGCCGCCACAGTCAAAATGTAGAGTCCAGCAACGACTCTGCGTCTCTGGCCTGGCGGGGATCGTCGAATTTCAAATCGTGCGTCTTTGGAAGACGTATGTTCTCGCCGTTTTCGCGCCTTCTAAAGTGGATTTTCGGATTCAACGTTGCGGATAACACCCGGTAAGTGGATTTTCTTGAAATCGAGTTTTTGCCCGGACACTGCCTTCGAAGGAAACCCATTTTTTGATGGTGGCATTTGCTTAACCAATTCTTATTTTGGTAGAAGTGACTTCGCACATGATAATTTGATAAGAACCTCAAAAGTTAGAAAATTATGCGCACTTGCTTAAACATAAGTTTGCACCTGAGTGGGAAAGCACTGCTAGCAGTTCCAAAGTGATGACGTCTTTGCCAAAATGTTTGAGCAAATGGTACGGACGCGATCGCGCGGGGAGCACGAGTATCTTGATATTTCAAAACCGTTGAAATCAATAATTAAAGATAAAGGTATTTGAAGAGGAGAGCTTTTTGAAAGCTGGTATACTTTTGGCATGCTGCCGGCACAGGTGACTGTTTACGCTGCCCAAAGAACAAAATTTTTTTTAATGCCGCATGCACAGCACCTCAAGAGTATAATAATAAAAAAAACTTCTTGAGAAGCATATACGAGAATAAAGATGGGTTAGGATAGCTTTAGCACAAGCATGGCTTCTGAATGAGAGTTATGGCGAATGAGTCCTACGAATGCCTTCTATAGGAGTATCTACAAACTCGTCTTTCTGCATTCCACCGTTTAGCTCTCATAAAATGTTTGTTTGAGACTAGTTACTTAAAAAATAAGCTGAGAAAGGTTATGAAGTCTTATTCTCTTTGATACACAATACAAAGCCCTGCGTCAAGTCTCCTTGAATTTATTGGCGCTCGCCTTTGATAGCGAAGTCTATTACCTCTTGTGAACAAAGGGCAAGAATTTGGTTTCTCCTGCGCATTTTCTCGGTTCACATTGAACCAAATCTTAAACTAAGATTGAGCAATCCAAGGAAATCATAGAGAAACTTGACCTTGATACATGAAATTCTAGAAGCTGCTCCACACCTAAAGCGAGTTCACAAAGCGCATACACTCCTCATAGTCACATTTCCTCTTCAGTTTTCGAACTTGTCAACAACCATTTGATCATGAAAGCAAACATGCACCTATTTTTTTCAAAATAACAACTTCAGCTTCTTACCTCTAACGTCTCCCACTCAACTGAAAATCTTGGGCAGTGAATATTGGTAGCCAAGTGAGGTTGAAAGTGACTCAGCCTGGTAAAATGCAAGAAAGGTGTAGAGCATTTGACTCATGCTTTCTGACAAAACACAAGTCCGAATCCATTTTGATTTAGCAATATGTGATGCAATTACGACAAGCGTTCTTATTGTCTAAAATACAAATATATATATTTCCTCAAAAGAGTCAGTTTGGGAAACATTATGAGTGATAGATTTGTGACGATCTATGTCTAAATATGGAACTGAATTACGCTCCCTGATCGCACTATTTCTAGCATTCTCCTAGTCTCCGCGCAAAAAAAATGTCACCTTTACAACCTATGCGAATGGCCTGTTGGGTTTGCAGTTTGACATTAAGTCAGACTTAAGTAAATCACGCATCGCTTAAAAGCCTCGCTTCTTTATTAAGGCTGTAATAGCTTGTCCTATGCTGCATTGCCGAGTTATCTGCATCTTGCATATTCTTTAAAATTCTTGGGAAATTTTCTTACACTGTTGCTTCAATCAGAGAATTTATGTGCTAATTTGTCGAAAGGTGGGAACAATTAATCGTATGCCAATATAAATTATACGAGACTGACTCCACATCAAATATATCGTTTTTTTTAGAATTTCTTCCTGCAAAACTGTTGAAAGTTGGTAACAGGAATTCGTCATAGAATGCATTCCAACTCTTTCCTTTACAATCGGCTCCTCATGTCAAAGTATTGAAGAACAGATCACCAAACACTTTTTCTTTCTATAGAAAACGCCTCGGCGCTAGTGCTGATCGCGAAAATAAACATATTCATGACAATTTGTCTCGATCCAAAAGTCCCAAAGTCATCTACGAAGTCATTATAAAACACCTCAATTGTCTGAGGGGCCATTCACACTCGTATGAAACATTCCCGCTACAATTTAAGCAGAAAGAAGCAGTATGTTTTTTGGACCCAGAATTCTTTAAGTACTGCAAACTCGCCCACCTTGATTTTCTTCTAGAGAAATGATGTGCACGCGCGACCTTCACCATAATCCGTTGGTAAATTACGTGATTCTGAACAGTCATGTAATCAATGTAGTTTCCTTGTTTGTCACGCACCCTTGCGATACACATGTATCGACCGTCCTGTATTCTTGCATGCCCACAAAAATGCTTAAGATTCAGAATCAACATCCACTCAGCTTGATAGAACATCGATAACGGCGACATCAACTAAAACGAAAATCGTTTCAGCTTCTATCAATCCATCCGGTGCTTCCTCTGCACCCACTAAACCATCTAGCAGCTCCATTCGAAGCTCCGTCAAAACTACAACCCAATCACCAACAAGAAGTAAGTGCTCAACTCAGGTGAAGAGTGATCCAACAGGGCGAACTGAAGAATAGACTTTAAGTTTTGAAACATTTTTTGAACTTTCGTTGCCACTTTCATGTGGAAGTCACAGTTCATGGACCCTACAGAATTGTTGCGGTTTTTACCTTACACATAATCTGTTCCATATGTGCGACTTAAAAAAGGTTGAACTTGCAGACTCCCATTGTATGATTGTCGGAGATATGCTGAATCTGGGTCACGATAAGACTTTCTACGAAGCTGTGAGTGAGCGGATGTAGTTTTTTTACGCTTTTGATCTCTTCAGTTTAAACGATGAATCATGATGCACGACTAAACGATTGATTACAAACCTGTGGCGATAGCAGGAAGTTTCTTCGAAGGACGTCTCTGATAGACCTTCTACAGAATTTTTACTAAATATAAGACGGATTTTGAAAATAGATCACTTTCCTCACAAATAGACAAAGCACTCGATAGTTATATGACTCAAATAGATATTTTTAAAACATTTTCTTTCGGAAAGGCGACCGAATACGTATCTCTCAGCATAGTATTATTATCCATCATTCATGTTAATCATGTTCAACGTGTTCAATGTCAAAATCATGCAGCGGTCGTCAGTCTCAGCTTGTTACATTAAAATCTTTTGTTCCTATGTTCAACAACCTTCACTATACGGCAGTGGCGTACCCAGGATTTCGGCTCGGGGGGGGGGGCGACAAAAAAATTTTTGGTATGCTTCCTGAAATTTTCGGGGGCTCAGAACACCGAAATTTCAAAAAAAATGGGGCGTGGCGTCAGCCACGCCCCCGAAAAAATTTTTTTTATGAGGCTAAATTAAATTTTTAAAAATTCTTAAAAATTATTTTAATTACTTACAAGTATAAACAAGTCTTTTGCACATTTTTATAACTCATGTAAGTAACTTTTAAAAATTTCGCGACCCATTCTCGGGGGGGGGCGCGCCCCCCCTCCCCCCGCCCCCCCCCCTCGGTACGCCACTGCTATACGGGCGGGGTGTCCCAAAATTGAATCCACACTTTTGCTATCAGTAATGACTTCCCACAAAGTATTTTGCTTAGCTTCAGACACACTTAAATGAAGCTGGCTTCAACTTAGATTTACTGTATAGATTAAATCATTTAACCCTCTCTATTACTGTAAGATGACGGTAGGGATTTTGAAGAGGGTTTTGAGCCATTAATGGCCAGGCTTTCGCACCAAAATGAATACTCAATAAACCAAAAATTTTGTCATTTGGCTCAACTAAGGCGCTGACTATGAACATAAAAGTTGCACTTTATTGTAAAAGTTTTTTCATAAGTTATGCTAAGTAAACCGCAGCATTTTTTATACGTGTTTTCCAAAAATGTGATACAAACTATTCAAACCGTTTTGAAAACTTGTGAAAAATTATTTATTGAAATCAGCATCTGCAAGCACCTCTGCACAACTTTCAAAAAATTTTTGAAACTTTTCCTGGAACGACTACTTCATAATGCCGCTACATGCTAAAACCTCCTTTCGTAAATCTACAGCAACGAACAGCGCTCTGTTCGGCATACCTTAAATTGAAGTTTACTCCAACGAATGGTACTTGAAGCTAAGCAAAAGACTTTGTGGTAAAAGATAACGATCAGTAAGTGTGTACTTACTGGAACACCCTGTATATTAAACAGCCCGATAAGAAGCTGCCAATACCAAATAAGGTTAGGAGGAGAGTGTTTAACTGCTTTTTAGGAGAAAAATATGCTGAATGTTGTCGCTGGCATGTTGCTCCCTATAGGACAAAGCGACCACACTGCTGCGTTGTGGAGCTATGGCCACGTCGAACACCCCAGCACCCTTTTGGGAACCTTCCACACATTCACCAAGGATTGGTCTGAATTCAACGGCATGTTAACGAACAAGATGAAGTTTTCTTCTTCAAAGGTATACCCACAAGGTGGAAACAAAGAGTACGTGATCTCCTCCAAATTCACTGCAGAATCTGAAGCTGATTAAATTTAGCGTCTTTTCCCTGATTAATAACACTACGGACCCCAGAAACAAGGCAAACTGCTTGGTTTTTTTATCTGCCATGTGAGTATCATCGTCAAATTACAATTTCTTACGAGAAAGGAGACACAAGCAGTATTTCCAACATGAAAAGCAAAAATATCCGTAGTTGAAATTGAAGTGAACTGCGGTCAGGTAGTACAAGCTCCCCAGATTTTTAGCTTGAAATTTGGGGAATTGAAATATGCCGGGGAAATTTCGAGATTTATTCGAGTCTTTGAATTTGATCAAAATTATACGTCGCAGTTCCTTAAAACAGATATACCTGGAGTATAAAAAAGTCGAAATTTCTTTATTTTCCTGATAAAACACATCAAAAGACAAAATGGAATAGAACTGAGAGTCCGAGACTAAGAGTATCTTAAGGAATATTTTTTTTGCTTTTTAGGGAAAAGACTGCAAACCAGTAATTTATAGCATTGCCTACAGATTTTCGTGTACCTGAGCCGTCTGTAGAATACATCAATACCTGTCATATCGCATTCATACAAGCTTACAGGATTTCTTGTCTTTTGATTGTTTAACCAAGTGAGACTCATTGCAGGACAGACGTGAAAGATTATAAAATTGTACCAGATTACCATTACGAAAGAATCGTCGTTGTTAACATGGCAGGTAAGCTCTTGCTGTCTCAAATATTTTTATACTGTGAACTAAAGCAATAGTCGCGCCTGAAAATTCTCGCCGTGTGTATCAAATCGCTAAGATTTTTAAGGTGGCAACTTCAGCGGAATTGTGGAAGAAAGTCAAGGGATTGTTGTCGAGGTCTCTCAACCATATTCTGATAAAGTAGAGGAGAATGCTAAAAAAATTCACGATGCAATACGGAAAGGTTTTCATTCGTAGTAAAGTTATTCACATAACACTTGTTGAGCCAAACATTTTATGTGGGGACATGCCAAGTAAAAGCAGCCCAAAGCAATTATATGCATTGAGTAGGCGCATCAACTATAACAATACGGAAAGGTTTTCAACCGTAATAAAGTTACTCATATAATAGATTGTTGAGCCAAATATTCATGTGAGAGTAAAAGCGGCTCAAAATTATACGAGTGAGTAAGCCGCATCCATTGTAAGCAAAATCAAGTAGCTCTCAAACTTCGTAGAACCCTCCTAGCCCATGAGAACGTAATTTACTGTATGAAAAATTTACCAATGTACCTGGTGTGGTTCCTATACCCGAATTGCAAGCAAATCGCAAGATACACTTCTCTTGCCTTCCGACCTATGACACCTATGACCATATCTCTGGATGACCTCTCATGAAAGCGCCAACTATCGAAAAGGAAACCAAGAATTCGTGGTCTACGAGTCTTTCATTTGAGTGCCACAGCTTCAGACAATAAAGCTGCAATGTACCCTCTCATGTGTCGGGTTTGCAACATAATAATGTTCGTTGCTTATAATGTCAAAAAACAGTGTAGGTAGAAGAAATCACTAGACGCATATTTGATGGAGGAAAGCAGGCCTTGCAAGATGACCGCCGCATGCGCCTGAACAATGAGCTACAGAAAGGAAGTCGAAATTGATGAGCATCTGATCTGCTGTGGATGCTTGCCTTTTGAATGTTCACATCACTTGATTGATCAACCTTGTAGCACATACAAACATTTCTGCACTTGGTTCATATCGTGGATGCTTAAAGGCACCGTCCACCCAAAATGGAGGTTGGCGAGATTATGATGGCATACTAGTGTGGGCCCCCATACTAGACAAACCCCCAAGCTTCGCCGCAAAAAACTGCTTCTGAAGCGAGAAATCCGCTCCGGAAGTAACAAAAGTGGGCGGGTATCTCGCCTGCACTTGTTGCAGAGAGTTCTCGAAACAGGGATTTTTGGGGGTTTCGCGGATTTTCGACTCCATATTCGGAATCAGGGCTTTCAGAAGGTCTGAAGGCGACAAAAACATTGAATTCGAGTTGGGTGGACCGCCGGGGGCGCCCCGCTCACTTTGTTACTTCCGGAGCGGATTTCTCGCTTCAAAAGCAGTCTTTTGCGGCGAAGCTTGGAGGTTTGTCTAGTATGAGGGCCCACACTAGTATGCCATCATAATCTCGCCAACCTCCATTTTGGGTGGACGGTGCCTTTAAGGCGAGGATTCTAGAAAGAGTTCAATTAAATTTAAAAACTTTCACACTGCAGGGTAATCTTATTGGCTGATTATCGAAGTGAAAATCACATTTTTGTTTTATTTTATGCCAGATATACTGTTCTGTCTTTGCTACACAACTTTTCAGATTTCTTCCAGATTTTTCACAAAACGCTACTTCATGACGGCGCCATACGCTTCAAGTCCCTAACGTATTATAGAAAAAAGAACATTGAGATCTGCTCAACTTGAGGTTGAAGTTGGTTCTACATTGACATCATAAGAGGAGCGAAAGACAGTCGAGAATTAGACTCTTAACAATTAGGAGACCTTTTAGGACACCCTCTCAACTGTCGAGTTGAACATTTTCTCAGCAATTTATTCGAACGAATTTGACTGCTGTATATACACGGCCCGCTTGCCTAGCTTCCGGCTTGCTCCTTCTGGAATTCCCTGACTTTGCTCTACATTTCACGTTTTTCAGCTAAAGCTTAGTGCTAAATTACTAGGGTGTTGCAAAAATGATGTCCGTTTTTCTAAGCCTATTTTTCAAACAACTTTTTTCCTTCAAATTTTTTTCAATATGGATTCTGCAAACCATTGGAAAGCATGATTCATGCCCTTTCTAACAGCTGTGAAATTAAGCCTCTACCTTATCTGTGAAAGTTTTAAGAACATCTCTCGCAGCTGCACTCAGAATTGAAAATTCCATGCTTTAACTCCCTTGGTTACAACTCAAGCGCAAATAGACGAACTCTTTTGAAAACATAGCTATTGTATTGTGTACCTATAGCATCTTTAAGTAGATTTTCTGAACTAAAAAATTGACTCCCCTTAGATACTGGCTGCTGACATTCGATGGGTCCAAGGTTTCTCATAATTAGGTCAATTGCCGAAGCTTCGCTCATTTTTGTATGCTCGAGGTTAGGACATCTTGCCTACAATTTTTGCAAACAGTGTAAGAAAAATTTCGAATTTCCATAGTTTGGGACTTTCTGGTCTACCACAAATAGGCTCAAAAAGGTGAACAATTTTGAATTTCTATCTTTTTTTTCGCAGAACTCCGCCTTGAAGTCTCCTCTAAGCACACATATAATGCTGGCGTGTCTCTACAATTAAGCTGATTAGCAGTTAAATGTACAAATTTTGAAGGGAATTGTAATCTCTCAAAGACGAGGTTCAAAAAAAAACTTTCGGTTTTTTGAAGCATGGCCTTCTTCCCGTTTGCGATATCAGTAAATGCAGGTGCGCATTAGGTTACGAAAGCTTCACTGCTTCATATGATTCTGACTGCATTCAAAAATATGAACACTGAACAAAGTTATAGCCTTTCAAATTAAAACTTCCAAAACGGACATTATTTTTGCAACAACCTAATATATATTGGGTTGGAAACTAAGTTTTTTTCCATTCAATAACTTTCCTCTATCTCAACGTAGACTTAAATTTAGCCTTTGTGCAGATTCATAAGCTACAAGAGCAGCTGCTATTCTGCCAAATTCTGACGTCGTAGTGAGGATTACGGTAGGTGTGTGGTATGAGGGGAAAGATTTTGGAATTTGACAGATTTGGCTGAAACTTGGCATAGGGGGTTGTCGGACATGCTGATTACGAAAAAGATACCGAAGTTGCGTGTTAACGGCTTTTTTGTAAGATTATTGTAGGTTTACCATGTAGGGCCTCACCCCAAACGAGGAACGCGAGACGTTGATTTAACAAATGAATACGATATTCGTGCCTGGCAGGTCAAATAACCTTACTATATGAGGTCTCGGCGAATTTCAAAGTTCGACATCTTGTTCATTAACGGTTGTCTCCAGCAGCCTTGCGTCGGGCTTGTTAGACTTTGTGATTACGCCAAATCTCGACATGCTATCAAATTTCATTTTTTTTCTTATCGAGCCCAATGAGTCAACCTCTAGCAACAATTCGTACACGATTCCGGGTTGTTGCACATAGTCTACGCTGCAGAAAGCCACATTTTAGCTCAAAACCCCAAGAATTCTCGAACTCCACTAATTTTCGAAAAATGCCCAAAATTTTTCTAACGTGTTCAAAATTCAAACAGTTTGTGCGCAGTTGTAGCACGCATTGTGCTCTGTATAGTAGAAAAATTCGCGTGCGCTACATTCAAAGAGGGTGAATTCATGAAGGAAGTTGTAAATCTTAGTTTGCAGCCTAATATTATTGCATTCTTCAAGATACAGTAATTTTTTCTCAAGATAAAAATTTATGCTTTCAAATTTATGTCTTGAAGCACTACTTGTCAGACGTCCGCTGGGGGGGGGGGGGGGGGGATAAACAGGTTGCTTTGGGAACACCTGCTGTTCTTTGTAATTTTTCTTCATTGATTATATATTCAAAGGATAGAGGACAAAGAAGACGGCGTCTTCACTGCCCTCTGCGAGGATGCACCAAACGCGCACTACTTTCTAGTCGGAGGGGGAATTGTATGCGTGCGAGCCTTTTGCAGTTTTCTGAAAGCAAAGACTTCCAAAGAGTCATTTTAAGCATTCCCCAAAAAAACATGGGAGTATTCTCGTACAAAGTCTCTTTCAGAGACCAGCACATGTTTGAATTACAAGAGTTGGACAAGGTAAAATAAATGTTGAAAAATTGGAAACTTAAGCTATTACAAAAAGAATCTTCGAGAATGCGGAAGCTAGTAATTCCTTATCAAGTGTGCCCAAGGAGCTTGTCTATCGTAATTCTCTTTTTTTATTAAATCTAATAAATAAATCCAAGAACTCCACAAACTTCCACTGGGACTCAACAATTAAAATAAGTACATGTACCGCTTTGGTAAATAAAACAACTATTAGAGCACATAAGAGATTTTCTCAAGGCAAATACTTTCAAAAAGTCATTCTAAGGATTCCCCAAAAAAAAACATGGGAGTAGTGAGAAAATGCATAAGCTGTTCTGTCTCGTACAAAGTTCCTTCCAGAGACCAGCACATCTGTGAGATACAAGGAGTTGGAAAAGGTAAAACAAATGTTGAAAAATTGGAAATTCAAGCTATTACACAAAAAATTTTCGAGAACGCGGAAGCTGGTAATTCCGTATCAAACGTCGCCAATGAGCTTGTCTATCGTAGTTCTTCAAATTGTAAATCCAAGAACTCCACAAGCTTTCACTGAGACTCAGTAAGCAACAGGTGCATATACCACTTTGGTGATAAATACGTGTTGGATAAACAACTGAAGCAGAGCATTTTATTCGCTAATTCACTGCATAGCGAATCTTCAGTAGCAAAGCACACATAGCAAGTGTTGGGTAGGTCTGCTCAATTCAAGCACCGAGTACGCAGAAATCAATAACTAACAGTCAAATGTTAAAGAAAGAAAAGGAGTATAGTGTCTACAAGCATAAAACGAACGAAACTTTTGAATAGGATGAAAACTCCAATATCAAATATTGAATCGATGAACGATATGGAGGAACAGTTGAATCTTCGATGCTAAAATTATGAAAATCAAAAAATACAAAAAGTTTCAAATCCTAGATGTGCTGATAAGTAATGTCTTCGCTTAAGTACATGTATATCCAATAACTCTTATTAAAGCCCTTCAGGATCTCATCGTATAAAGCTTGGATGTGAGACTCATTATTATAAACTACTAGCTGGCTTACCCGTCTCCGCCGTATGTTCCGAATAGAAAATTCCATTTCTTAACCGATCGGGACCAAACTTGGCACACATACACTTCGGGCCCCGGCGGGTGTCACAGTCCACTTTTCGTCATCGACCGATGTCG